GAAAGATTAATGCAAGTCTCACAGACCTAAAGCATTTTTAAATCTGATGTACAGTGCCGTTTAAAGTTTGGGGTTGGTTAAAAAAAATATATTTAAATATATACAGTACTCATCAAGGCTGCATTTATTTATTTTCTTTGATTAATAAAAAGAGCAGTGTTTATTTAATATAACTATACTGTCACAATTGAATGCATCCTTGCTAAATAAGTTAATTTTCTAAAAATTAATACTAATAATTTTTACCGACCCCAACCTTTTGAATCTCTTACTCATGAGCAAGTTCAAGGCTGTTTTTGTTAAATGTGTTGCATGTACAGTAGTTACAATTTGTAACTACTAGTAATAATAGTTACAGTACATGCAACTACCCCTAATCCTAACTATAACCCTATAGTAAGTACATGTAGTTAATTAATATTACTCAGTTTTTACATTTGTAACAAGGACACCTTAAAATAAAGTGTAACCGAACCAGTTCAATCATTTGTTTGCGAATAGCAATGATGACACACAAATGTTTATTTTTTGTTGCATTTGTGACCATTTTAGTGCGTCTTGGGGCCCCTATGCACATTCACGTCTTTCCAAACCTGTATGACTTTCTGTTTTTAGTGAACTTTTCGTTCAACTCTTTCCCCGGCAGTGTTGTTAAAAAAAAAAAAAGATGCCAGCCACGATGACACTGCCAGCGTTTTTGATCATTTTCACAAAAAGACAGTAAAAAAGCTGAAAAAAAAATCACGTTTTTGTCAAAGACTTCATCTGGATCGAATTCAGAACGATGATCAAAAATAGATATAGTAAACCGAGTTATACGTAGCTCGTACTGGGTCGACATTTCATTCCATAACATTAGGCAGTTTTGATTTATATGGTTTTTAATGTTAATGATTGTGTCATTTTACATATTCATATGATATCGCTTGATTCTGCATCTTCCTCACACGTATTTTGAACAGGAGATTCTTTACTCTTTCAGAAGAGATTGATAACTATATTAGCGTCCACACCAGCAGACGATATTTTCCCGTTTATTCTGAGCATGCGATGTAATTCATACTTTGCAGTCATGTGACTTCCATGAGTGCCTGGCGGGCGACAAGTATTTTCAATGTAGAGTCCAGTAGTTCCAGGTCTTTCTAGTAGCTATCTAGTAGCTATGTGCGTGTGACAGTGACTCATGCACATACATGTCAGTCAGCAGGGCATCGCACGTCAAGTTCGTAAAGAGCTTTATTCAGTCCATTTTACAATCTGATTTTGGCCGCCTCTCAATTTCTCAGATGGGTTAAACCAAAGATATTACCTCAGAAGTTCAAGTAAATGCACTAGAAATCCGCGCTCAAAATTAGCGATATAGACCAAAACAACTATTTGCCACCAGGCTGTAAACATGTTTTTTTTCTGCTGGGAGATACAGATTTGACTCGCTTTTTCAGCCAGCCTTAAGCGGCCACTCTATGAATTGCAGTTTAATTCACTTCCGTGACGGGGAGGTTGCCGCTTGCTCACAAAAGCTGACTCGCCGAACCAGCTGGGGGCGTTGATTGGCGAAACTACAGGTTAACTTAAAGACACGGTTAACTACATGATCATACACCCATTGTATTCAAACAAATGTTGAAATTACCTTGAGTGATGGATTGATCACTGCACAGATGTGTAACGTTATACTGTGAAGGTTGCTTATCTCATCTGGTTAGTGCAACCAATCGCACAACAACTATCTGGCGTGTCATTTCCAACTTTTGTATAAAAACTGACAACATTTTCATTGCTGGAGAATGGAGTTCTTGCCCGCCAGCCAGTACTTGTGACGTCACGTGCAAAGTATGAATTTGAGCTCTTAAAAAAAGGGTGGGTACTGATTGGCTGTTCATAAGCTGGGAAAAAATCGTCCTGCAACTGATTTCAACGATATTGTTTCTCTGTGATGTCTTCATTATAGCGACATAGTGTGGTGACTCTGCTATTCTTTTATATTTAGAACGATATCTCCATTGTTATAGTTATCCTCCTTAGTGTGAACGGGCCTTACGTGTTAAGGTTCTGTTTTGCAGCAGTATCCTGTCGTCCACGTCACAGACGGGCCCAAGTTGGTACGGCTCTATCCAGAGGAATGGCAGCCTTACGCCGATCCCTCACCTGCTGAACGGCCCCCAAACATCAACCGCCCCTCTTCTCTTTGCCTACGGCAGCAATCAGACCAACCAACACCACAATTACTATTCCACCCCTCAAAACTACTACTCAACCTCTCAGACGCACTACACCACCCCTCAGAACTAATGTGGGATCCATCTAGTGTGAGGTTTGGGACATCACTGAGCAGTGTTTTATGGTTGTCTTCCCCCTCAGTCAATTGATCTGCTCGCATCCATGTGGCTGAAAATTTTAAAGGGACAATTCCAAGATGGGGGGGGGGGGGGGGGATGCTTTATTTGGACCAAATGGACCAGATTTTCCTCTTTCTTCAATGTTCTCATTCCCGAAAACCATTCATCCCATCAACTTTCCTTGGGTTCAGAATGTTGTCGCAATTAGACTTTAGCACATGGACTCCCCTCTGTGAGTTGGGATGTACTTTTTGCACTTACTGTGGGCCTACATTTCATATTTGGATCAGTTGGAATAGGTGTAGGCCAGAATGTGATGGTGGTGAGGATTTTGGGGGAGTATACTTTTTAATATTACTTCGTCTTTGAGAAACAGCATGACCCCCTAGTCCATCCGAGACATGGAAGTAAAAGAGGATTCTGGGTCCGTTGGTACTTGGACCAAACGTGCACTGTCATTCACGAAATCCACGTGTCTCTTTCTTGATTTTCCTTTAACGGTTTTATTCTGTTGCCAAAGAGCCTGTGCTTAAATCCATCTATGGTAGTAGGTTTCCATGCTTCCCAAAGACTCCTGATTCCCACAATCCCTGGAATGACGATTGAACTCTAGTGTATTCAAATGTACCAAGTGTGACTAACTCTACTTACATCCTCTAATATTTTGGTACTTGGCTTCATAAGAACACTCTGAGGGCTTGTGGGTAAATTTACCTGCGTATATCAGTAGTCAAAATCTAGTATATCATTCTCTAGGGAAGCCAGAAATGGTGCCATCGTATGGTTTTCCTAGATGAAAAATTGTTGCACAAATTTGACGTTTGTATTGAACGTTTCATAAGCTTTATATCTTCGTTCCTGTATAATTGTATTTCAGGAGCGTGATTGGCCAGCAATCAGTGCCCCATATCCAGCTTAAAAAAGCGGCCCTTTCCATTTCCCTGAAATGTAATTGTTTTGTGTTTTAGCAAAAAACAAAACAAAAAAATGAAGCTTATTTTTGTATCCCCTAATTTGCTGCTCCATATGTTATGAGCTGTGTATAAGATATCAACAATCATTTGGCTGAAGCAATCATCAGATGTGGTGTAAATATGATGAATAGGCAGCTGTATGGTTGAAACGTCATTCGCACCTGCTCTATTGGGTTTATTTTTAAAATGTGTTATTTTAAAAAGCGTCTTGCAGGATTTTGTGTATGCTGTACTAAACAAGTGGATGATTTTCATTGATTTGAACATTTTAAGTTGGCCTGCTTCCTTGCTTTCTGCCAGCTGATGTGTAGCAAAGCTTTTCACATGTTAGCGAACATGAGCGTTAAGTGACGGAATGGTTGTGCGTTCAAATTGAATGCTGATTGGGTTCATTTCCTGACTAACCACAGAAAGGATGGGGACGTGTATGAGTTGTAGGTTTGTTTTTATTTTTTATTAATTTATAAATGTGAGTCTGGTCTGTAAAATGTTACTGTGAAAATCTGTCTTATCAACTCTTGAATCTAGCAAAAGAGCAAGTAAAGCCTTTTATTTTTTTTGTTTGAGGCCAATGAATGTAACTTGTTTACCCATGTTCATAGTTCATTAAAAATGTACACAAGCACTACCATAAAAAATAAAGTTTTATTGCACTGTTTTAAAAGCAGGTCTGGTGTGAAGTCTGGGTTTTTATGGTTTTAACTATTTAACTAACCCTCTCATGGTCCTCGGTCACTTCTGACCGAATAATTTTCTGTTTTGAATTTTAAAAAAATCACAGCTTCATCGGAAGGTTATGATACTTGGTGACTTTTCTGCATTTGGTTTGTGAATACAAAAAAAAAAAAAAAATTGAGGTCATGATCCGGGCATGCTAAGTGGTCGTAAAAAAAATTAATCACAATTTTGGATTTCGCTCAAAAATGACCCCTATAGGAAATGAATGGAAAATTGAGAAAAACTCAAATTCACCACATTTTTTTTAAATGTTAAAGTGTTATTATTGAATGCATTGCATTTTTGATACAAATTCTGAAAAAAATGGGTATAAAATTTGAAAACACAAGCTTCTCTTTCTAATCAAATGTTTGGCTGTAATTATAATGCAAAATCTAACACTTTTTTTATCACTATTTCTAAAAAAATAAAATAAATCTAAAACTTAATAAGAAATCATTTTTGAGATTGCTTAAAATATATTCAAATCCACAAAAAAAAAAGTGTTCATAAACAGCTGGGGAATTCACATGCATGCCTCTCCATAGAGAGCTGTGCATGTCATTTAGTGGTTACAATATATATATAAAAATAGACAATACATATTAATAAATTCAATCAAATTGTCTCAAAATACTTAACTAAAAAGAATAAATATTATAGAACAAAATTAAATTGCATTGGTTTTTACTGGGATGGAGGAAGTTTCATTAGGTGTCCGGTCACTTCCTCCTAAACGAAGACCATCAGAGGGTTAATCACAAAAAAACACTGGTGGATTTATCATATTCTGCCAAAAACTTAATTCTGTATTTGATGCTTTTCTGAAGAAACAATACATTTTTCAAATGGTGAATTTGCTAACATTTTGCTATTTCCCTGACCAATAATTTGTAGTTAAGACAATTAAAAACTTGGAGTTCAGCCATTTTGGCTCGGCCCTTTTTCTTTCTTTTTTTCCCCCCAGGAGTGTATCTATGCATACATGTTTTTCAACTCCAGATCTAAAGTGTTTCTTTCTTTCCCTCTGTGTTTTCCATTCAAAATACTAGCATTCATTTGTCTTGATAAATGTCTTAACCTAATTGTGTTTTCGTTTCTTGGCTGAACTGCAGGCCACAATTGAATTTGTAGTGGTTAGATCTCACTGAGTCTCATGGAACAGCTTAAATGAGGAGCCTATGAATCTTGGGTCCACCTCTTAAGATCGCCAGCTGTGTATTTAATGTTTGATTCAGCACTTTGCATATTCAGCAGTTTTAGCATGTAATGCCAAGCCTTTGTCAGTAGCATTACATCTCAACTGGAAGATCATGGAACTAACAATACCAAGGGTTTGATTGCCAAGGAACAATATGGATCGAGTGTACACATTAAAAGTGTCAAAAGAACAAATGTTGTGATTACTACACTGAAAAAAACTATTGTTGGTTTAACTTAAAAAAGTAAGTAAGCTGGGTTGCCCTAATTTTAAGTTGATTGAACTGGAAAAAGTGAGTTCATACAATGAAGGAGATTAATTTAATCATCAGAAACTCAAAATAATAAGTTATCTCAACTAAATAAATTATTATAAAGTTGATTTGACAAAAGAAAATATGTTGTGATAACAAATCTTGAAAATATTTTTTTACAGTGAATGAAAAATGATGTCCAAAATAAAACATTGATCTTAAATGTAGTCAAGATGCTCAAAAAATCTGTCATATTCAGGAATGACTACACCACAATTATAACCACATCTTTACCCCCCCTAAAAAATTTACACCTATAATGAAATGCCAGCTTAACTTCATAAAATGCAACATTTCTCCCTCTTGTAAACCATTTAAGGTATATTTATGTATTTCCATTGAGTTTCCAAGAGGAAACTTGTTACTTGTAATACAAAAACATTGAACAGTGTAAAATTAGCCCTAACATTACAGTTTTGCGACTAAAGTGCTCAATTCTTTTGGGTTAAACAGTGCAAGAGCTGTTAAACTGTATTTATCAACAGCTGTTATAAAACATCATTCTGAAAACAGTTATTTATCAACCCAAAAGAATATAATTCCGTCATTTCATGTGATAATAGACATCAAGCCCTTGACTGTTGCCAGAGGATGGACTGTCACTGTTTGAGCTTTGACAACAGCGACCGGAAGTTCTTCAACTCTCTAACACTCGTTGAGATCCTGAAAAAAAAAAATCATGACCCATTTCAACTAAAAACATTTGTACATAAATAGACATAGACATTTCTTTTGAGTGACTTACCTTCCAAAGGCATTAAACAAAGACACAATTTCCTGCCGGCTGAGCTGAAATGATGGATTGGTGTTGCTTGTGTTGGGCATGGCCTCGATTTGCCTTTCCGAGAACAGGATTTTCAGTGCGGTTCCCAGGCCCTGGGTCTATGAGAGACATTTATTGAATTTCACATATAAACACAAATAACATTATCTGATTACCCGTCGCTATCTTTGTTGCCTTACCTGCAGTTTGCCCCAAAGTCTGCATTTAAAGCATTCGACACAATCCATGATACGCGAGATGTTCTTAAAGGTGCGCTTGAAGTCTTCCTATAGTCGGGGAAGAGCCAATTTATTTATTATTTCTCTAAAAACGTACATTTCTGTAACATTGTTGTTATAGCAAACTTGGAAAAAAGCCACTGGCCTTTAGTTGCATGGCTTCCTTCTTATTTCCAGCAAACAGAGCAGTCTCGTCAAAATGCAATGGAAAGGATCTGCGAATAAAGAATTAGTTATATTACGGCTGGAATACACTACACCAGAAGTTTCACACGGACCCCCAAATATCATCATCCATGTGTGAGGAACCCCATCTTAAAATGTAGGCATCAATCTTTTATAAACCCCCAATTTATACACTGAAGAATTTATATTAGAAATCTAAAATGATGTATTATTATCTATACAGTTACAATATTACAGTATTGTATTCACACTATTAAATGTACTCATTTGTTTATTTATAGATAATAAATTAACTCTGCTAACTTTTTTATTTATAACATTTATTACAATTAAGTTTCCAGTTAACATGGCAAATCTAATAAAGTTGTTCATATTTTCATTTAAAAAATAATTTAATACACATTTATAGTGGTATGCTTTGTGTTAAATGACCTTTTTAGTAAATGACAAAAAACAAAGGGCGTTTCTAATACAACAGCTGATGGAGTGACGGCAAACTTCACGTCATTCTCTCTTCTGACTGCTGTTATCTCTTTAATTTTTTTTCCCTTCTTTTGGAAAGACATGGAAACTCTATCATGGATTTTTTTTCTTTTGCTATCAAAGCAAATGGAAATTCAAAAATTATATTTTCATTATATGTCATCTCCCATTCACAGCTATAGAGGTTTGACTTCCGCTTCTGAGAATGTGAAAAGGGTTCATAGACTTTTTCTAGTTTTTTTAATATGTTTGTATCTGGTTGTATGGAATCATAGTCTGAAGCTAAAAAAAAAAAAAAAAAAAAAAAAAACTATTAAGTGACCATCATACACTACACAATTTCAGGTCAACTGACTTCTTAAAATCTGCAGATCTGGGCAAAAATCACGTAGTTTATTCTAGCATTTAGTTAATTTAATAAAAATATTAATAACCCAATATTTTAACCACTCTAAATGGGTTGGTTCCAGTTTTGATGCAACCACTGCAATGCTCTTACTTGGCCACATGGAGGAGCTCTAAAAGCAGTTTCTTGTTCTCGTTGTCTTGTGTCGGCTGGCCGGTGTACAAATGGAAGGTGGAACGTTCAAAATATGGTAGAATCTTGGCCAGAGCACGCAGCTCAATGAGGTACAGGAAGTAGAGGTTGCGTAGCCTCTTCGGCCCCTCCCCTTCTGTCAGCTCCTCGTCAAACCTCAGCTGGAACTCGGACACATTGTGACCCCACTTCATTTCGAACCAGTTTTCTGACCAATCAAATCAGACAAGTTTAAACAGTGCCAGGAAATTTGAATAATTATAAAGAAACAAACTAGTAGTACTTCTCACCATTGAGGAGGTACCTGGCACTCAGGTGTATGTTTATACTGCAATGCAGTCCTGAGATCAGCCTGAAGAAAGCTCGTTTCTCCACACACAAGCCTGGGGAAACAACAAGAGGAATATAAGGAACATGTCAATACAAAATTATAAAGATAGAGCACTTTAAAAGGCATAGTTCTGTCATCATTTAATCAGCCTTAAGTTGTTCCAAACCTGTATGAATTTTTTTCTTCTGCTGAACAGGGCGCAGTGGATAAGACACATGCCTTTGGTGTGAGCGACCCGGGTTCGAATCCTTTGTGAGACACCAATGTGTCCCGGAGCAAGACACTTAACCCCTAGTTGCTCCAGAGGCGTGCGACCTCTGACATATATAGCAATTGTAAGTCGCTTTTTTGGATAAAAGCTTTAGCTAAATAAATGAATGTAAATGTGAACACAAAAGATACTTGAATGTTGAAAAGAATGTTCAAAAGATGAATAATGTCGGTAACTAAACAGTTGATGGGCCGGGCCCCATTGACTTCCATAGTATGGAGGAAAAAAAGTACTATTGAAGTCAATAGGGCCTATCGACTGTTACTGACATTCTTCAAAATATCTCATTTTGTGTTAAAGGTTTGAAACAACTTGAGGGTGAGTAATAGCATAATAGCAAGAGTCACTTACCCTCCAGCCAGCGATGGAACCCCTGACCTTAAAAATAAAATAGACTTGTCATTATCTAGATAATCAAATTGGGTTAAATGTTTCTGAAGAACATGACCTTACCATCATCTCCTAAAGTGGACAGAAAAAGAGAGAGAGGATTATAGGTCTTGAGCATCACTATTTGATCTACTATGTGTACTGAAAAATCTATGTGCTTTAAAACTGACACATTTTAGACTCAAAAACACAAAACAATGCATTAACAATAAATGCTCACCACTGTAGGACACCAAAGGATTCAGCGGTCGCTTAACTGAATACGGTCTGAAAAAGTAACAAAAAAGAATGGCAGTTGTTACAACATTATGAGTACTGTGGGATTACAAATTTAAGAATCTGATCTGCAGCTGATCCTACTGTACGTCTTGACATAACATCAAAAGAAGTCAAAAGATTTAGGGTGAACATTATGGATGGGTTTTGCAGGTATGAACCAACTAATTAAGGCCTGAACCTTTTGGAAGGGGGTCTTAAAAGTATGTATTCTTTTTATTACATTAAGTGTTTTGATGTTTTTTAAAAAAAAGAAGTCTTATGTTCACCAAGGTTGCATTTATTTGATACAGTAAAATCAGTAATATTGTGAAATATGAATACAATTTAAAATAACTATTTTCTATTTTATTAATTTTTAAAATGTAATTTATTATTGTGATGCAAAGCTGAATTGTCAGCATTATTACTCCAGTCTTCAGTGTCAGAAATCATTCTAATAAGCTGATTTGATGCTCAAGAAACATTTCTTATTATTATCAATGTTGAAACAGTTGTGCTGCTTAATATTTTTGTGGATTTTTCTTTGATTAATACAAAGTTAAACAGCATTTATTTGAAAAATAAATATTTTGCATCATTATAAATGTCTTTGCTGTCACTTCTGATCAATATAACGCATCCTTGCTGAATAATATTAATTTCCTTAAAAATAATCTTACTGTCCCCAAACCTCTGAAAGGTAGTGTAATTAATTTCAAACAGTATTTCAAACATTTCAGTAATCACAAATGTTAAAGGTTCACAGTTTTTTATGTTATGTACGATACATCAATAATCTACTTTACAAATAATCAGAAAAGGACTGAGTGTTTAAGTCAGAGTGCAGAAAACACTCACGAATAGATGTTGTGATTGACATTTAACAAAATTACTATCAAAAGACCATGAAGTTAGATGGCTAAGATAGTTGGCTAACTATTCTTAAGGCCCTATACTTAATTTTCCACGTGCCGCTCCATCTCGTGCACAGTTTAGCCTTTAAAAGTATACTCCTTTGGCCATGAGTGCGGAACGATATGCTCGGTGTGAGCGCTCTATCTAGTCTAGTGGACCCCCTGAAGTTCAACTGAATAATTTGCACACTGATCAGAATAAATGTGACTGTGACTCTTTACTTGAAGCAGTTCTCCTCATATATGCTGTTCCAGATCCGCCAGGCCTCTGGTCCTTTATAGCCGGTGAAACGCTCAGGGTTAAGCAGGAGATCAACATACTTTGATTCAGGTGAGTCCTCATCTGAAAAAAGACAAAAGAAATCAATGACGCGGCCTGTGGAGGATGACTTAAAGCTGTAAAGCATACGGGTATTGTAGCCCAATGTGAGCTTGCCAATTATCAGGCACCTCAAAAAAAAATTATTTGATCAAACTAACAAACTACCATCCAACATGCAGAAACGATCTGATTCATCATCGTGTTTCTTCCACTCTTGAAGAGCCTGAAGTGTCTCATCACTACACAGAGAAACACTGAGTGAGAACTTACACAGACAAGGTCAAAAGGTTAAGAAATCTTGGGGTATTCTTGACTCTCAGAAGGTGCAACACTTTTGAAACGAACCTTAGAGAACTGTTGACAGCTCCAAGTTTTTCTGCCTTCTCACATTTCTCTATATCCTGACTAGCAGCTTCTGAATACTACAGGGAAAAATGATTAACATTCAACAACAACAATATGCATGGTATACCTTATATGACTTTCTAATACCTTATAACTGCTGGATTTAAGGCCCTCTGGTACTTCACTCTGCTCAGAAAGACACAATGAGTCTTTTCATTTGACAAAATCCCGCAAGACAAAATCATCTGAATAGACTTTGCAAACTCACCGGTGTACACGGTTTCACAGCACAGTATTTGAGTCCACACTGGCTGTGGTCTGTCCAGAACGGACAGGGGTTGTTCAGATTGACCTGAGGAGCAGACTATTGAATATTAGAGATGAACAATGAATAGATATTTTCACTTTATGTAGCCTATTGTCAACAATAAAATCACCTGGTAAAACCGGAAATAATCAGATGATAGTAGTTTCTGTAGTTTGGGAAAGATTTCTTTGTTGTTGAAACTGTCGATGGTCTCAACATCACAAGCACAATCATCAAGATCACCAGTGACCTACAACCAAAATGACACGAGTTAATCAACCAAAAGTGACAAATTTCAACATTAATTGCTTAATCAGGTTTATTCGCAAATAGACACTAACAATCAGTCTCAGAACATGCGTTTACAAATAAAAGTACTGTGATGGATGGTATGGTGTGGTGTGGTGTGGTGATGCTTGCAAATTGTAGTAGTATAGTAGCCTACTTTATATATCACTACACCTTTTCAGCCAAGTTATTTGTGGTGGATATAGAAATTATAAGATAATATTACTTAATCACACACAAAGAGCCCCAAAGTTGATGAAATATCTGAGCTGATCATAGCTACAAAACAATTATAGAATTACTTTGTAGGCCACTAAATCACAATTTCAAAACAGGATAATTATAGTTCACTATAAAAAATATTATTTACTTAAAAAAATAAACTAACTGAAATAAAGTACAATATTTAAATAATTTTATTTCAGTTAGTTGCCAATGCCAAAAATGTCTCAATGAACTAAAATAAATAAAACTGAACTAAAAAAAGAAAAAGAAAACACACAAAACAAAAAAGTTACTTTAAAGTAAATTAAAATCAAGACGGAAAATATAAAATAACATACAAAATATTAATAAAAAAATATATTTGTAGCCATGTTCCATGACAGTGGGAATATAACACGGTATGCTATTTTTGAGTGATTATAGCATATTTGCATGCTCCCATGGTTTAAACATAGATAAAATAAACCATTACTATTGTATTTTTTAGGTCAGTGACACATATTTGATTAACTAAAATCTGTTTCCAAAAGCGATGTTGTATTTGTGCGTCTCACCTGACAGAAGCACCTGTGAGCAGCGGATCCAGCTGTCGTCACGTGAACGCTAGTGAGTAAAACAGCCAACAGAATGAAAGATGTCATTGTCATTGAACCGAGTTCGGCACAAAGGGTCTTCTTCGCACTGCTGCTTACACGTATTTGTGTAATGCGTAGTTCAAACAAATAACACGCAAAGACACGTTCACTTCCGATTGAATCAGCCGCTACGTGAAGTACGTGACCCAACTCACTGCTGCGACACGACACCCGATACAATGAATGATTGGAGCTAACGCACATTGATTCACAAAGCATTTTGTCACAAAATATGCTTTATTTTATTATCATATAACTGTCTCAGTGAATCTTTCGGGTTCAACAGTAATATCAGCTCTTCTAATATGAACTAGGAGGAACGCCTTCCTTTGGATGAAAATTGCACTACATGCAGTTCTCCGCATGATGTCGCCAAATACTAAGTTAATGGGCGGTGTTACAATCTGTCAACTGTAAAGAATCAGATATTTTCTGATGGGGAAATTAATGTTTCTAGTGATGACAAGCAGAACTTTTAAATACAGTAGCCTACATATTTTTATTTAACTGTTAAAATCAAGAAACCTTTTTTCAAGTCAGCAACATGTTTTAGACCTGTCTTTATTTTCTTGTAATATATTTATCAATTATACATTATAATATGAATATTTTTAGCAGATATCTCTCTTTTCTTAGAATAATATTTATTTATAATATTCTATATTTTGTTTCTAATGTTTCCAATTGATCTGTCTGTCTCATGTGATTTCAAACTGTGGTGGAGCAGCGCCATCCCATGGACGGAATCCGCTACTGCAAGGAGCCTCGATGTAGATCAAGGGCGGAATCGAATGTGTCCAAGTTTCCTTTTTCGACACTTTGTAACCCACATTCAGCGCGTCACAGTTAGGTCAAATGAACAAAATTCCATTCTAAAACAAACGTCCTCAGACGTCGACGAACAGAACTTTTTATCTAGCTACCCCTCCCCTCTAAACAGTTCAAACAAAACTTCCACTCCTGCTGTAACATTGTCCAGTTTGATGCGGACACCTCTCGGACTCTTTTCTCCCTAGAAAAACAAAACAAAACAAAAAAAACTGATTCCCGGTCAGTCGTCTCCTGTAGGATAAGCAATACGATCTGCTCCCTAACTCCATTCTCTATTTTTGTGCTTCCTTGTGCTGCCAAGCCCCTGACGTAATGCTCCGTGTTAATTATTAGCATGTGGGAAGCGATGCCGAGACTCTCCTCTGCTGCTTAAACAAGAGCGACTGACTGCGGGGAGAAAAACCTCGTCAAGATGGACAAACACACTGACCCAGAGTGAAGGGGCACCGCTCCCCGTCCCGTCCAGTCCTGTCCTGTGACCAGCACCAATGCAACTGTGCCTTTAGGTAAGTCACTTCTGAGGGTTTTTACTAGTATATCAAGCCTTTTACAGTGTAAACTCGGGTTGCAACATCTCTCGTCACAGCTTTTTTTGCTACAACAGTAGCGTTCGTGGGTAGGCTACTCATTGAGTATGCAAAATGGAAATCGCATCTATTTTATTAAAGGTTTTGGATTGTTCATTAATAGGCTACCTAAAAAGGGGTTATGCGGGGTAACCAACCACACTGCTGACTTAAGAGTGGGGAATTGCTTCAGATTTTAAGAGTTGTGAAAATGAGGGCTGTACACACTTACAGTAGGGACAGTCGAGCAACAATTTTTGGGAATGTTCTGGACAGTCTGCGATTCAGTTCGGATTAGCTAAACTAGACGTTCGCTTGAGTAGATACCGAACCCGAATAGAAACCGAAAGCCTGTGTTTATTTTTATTTGTCCACATCTGATGCTTTTGGAGTTAAGTGTGTAGCCGTATTTAGGTTGTCATACAGGACTCAGAAAAAGATATTGAGGGATGCGTTATCCTTGAGGAGTTCCCTTTTACAGTTCATCTGTGTGTAACGTCACCGCGTGCTTTTATTAGATGCTCACTAATTCAGAATTGCGCATTCTCGCTCGCGCCCGCTAATGTGTCAATAGCCCCTCAGAAATAGCTACTTGATTTTTGATTCATCTCCTCTCAGACTCGAATCTTTAGTATCACTAAAAAGGATTTGTTTTCTGTTTGCGTGATCCATCGTTATGTCAGTAGGTGGCGATCAGCGAGTCTTTTTTTGTGTGATTGAGTCATTGAATTGTCAAATGATTCATTTAAACTAGAGTAATCGGCCAATTTTTAACATAATCGGCATCAGCCAATATCCAAGTATATCAAGCCGATTATTAGGCAGGCGCATCTTTGGGCAGCCTAGTGTTGTCGTGGAACACGTGTTTGACACACCCGCTAGAGTCATTTCCCAGCAGAGTGAGCAGCAGAAATACGTTATTGTTAGAAGTTAAATTAAATAAAATATACTAAATCTTATATTTAAAAAATTCAATAATTTAAAGTTTTTTTTCTCCTTTTTTGGTGATAATTAGGTTATGTCCATTTGTCTTTGTCCGTCAACAAACAAAACAAACCAAAAATACATGTTTTAGGACAAGAGGATAAAATGTTTTTGTTTAGAAAGTTTGTCTGTGCTACGTAATTATCATTTCTTTTACATTTTATCTTTCAAATAGAGGTAAATAAATCGGCGGCATTAATCGGCCATCGGCCGACCCGGATTTCAAAAGATCGGTATCGGCATCGGCGTGAAAAAAAAACATATGGTTGACCTCTAATTTAAACGCACAATCGCTTCCAAAACGTTTTTGTTTTGTTTTTGCTAACATAGTCTGTTTGAGTCTGCATTAAATAAAAATTGAATAGGCTATATTTACTTTGTTAGGGCACATAGATAGCCTTGTGGTGAACAATTTATCTGTGTAAATAAATCCATAGATAAAGGTGTTTTTAATATAGACCTTTGTCTGTCCCCATAGAATAGGCCTAAGTTTTACGACATTTATGAATTATTCTTAATTTGCGAAAGATCATACATTTTTCACCTCTTTTCTGTCCTTTTTGTAATTGTAACACGTGTAGAATTTAACAATCAACTCGACGGCTCTCACCGAGGTACGTAGATGCGAGAATCACTATTGAGAAGATTCTTTTGTTTCTGAATGAGATGTGCTAGTTTATAGATTCCTCGTTGTTGTTCTTTTCTTTTTTCATTTAGATAATGGACTAATGCTATTTTTTTGTACTAAAGTCAGCTTGTGAGTAAAAAAAACTAGAAGTCTCTGCATTGAAATGACTCTAACACTGATTCATTTACGTTTGTTTTCATTTGGGTCATTTGGGTTTTTTTTACGTTTGTTGTCTCTGGAAAGGAAAGTATATAGAGTTGTTTCATACCTCGAAACCATTGATATTTGCCAACTTGTTATAAATGTTTACCCTGTTTGTGTGTCTTGGAAGAAATGTTATGTACTTGTCATTGTCAGTCTGAAAGAGTCATCCATCAGATTCCAAGGGTATGGAAATCAGCAATGAGATTCAAAATATATGGACTATACAGTCTACTAGCTGGTAGACTGATAGCAAGTACAGTATACTATCAGCTGGCCAAACCAGCATAAGGTAGTCATGCTTTTTTTGGAACTGGCTGAACAGCTTAAAGACCAGCTTGGTTCATAAAGCAGCTTCCAAAACACAATTCCCAGCTTTAAGATGACATTTTTACCAGGGCTTGCCTTTTTGTGTATGTTTTTCTTCTGAAATATGGACTGTAAAATCTCTACTCTTTACTTTTACAGAAAGGAGATGTTCTCTGTGGAAAATGCCATCAAAACTAAAGCTGGACAGTCACTGTATGCTGGAGGAAAGCTGAGGAAAGTTGTGTAAGCCTGAAGTGGCCAGAGGGCAGGAGAGCTCTGACAAATACCACATCAAAAGCTTCAAACAGGGATTTCCTACCACCAAGTCTAACTCCCAAAACCCAAGAACAAAGATGCAATACGTTGGTTCCCACTAGCAAATAAAATCTCAAAGGGTTATTCTCTGTCAAACCAAAAGTGAGGGCAAGGTGGTGAGTCTCCACTAAGCTGCAAAGCAACATCATTGGGTCGTGGCCATTTCTCTCTCCCCCTCTTGACGAACCCGATTTCCAATTCTTGGTACTGTGAGCCTGCCCACCAGATCATGATGTTTCGTGACCAGGTGGGAGTCCTCGCCGGCTGGTTTAAGGGTTGGAACGAGTGCGAACAGACAGTGGCGTTACTGTCTCTCCTCAAGCGGGTCAGTCGGACCCAAGCACGCTTCCTTCAGCTCTGTCTGGAGCATTCCTTGGCTGACTGCACTGAGCTGCATGTTCTGGAAAGGGAGGCCAATAATCCAGGTCAGTACAGAAGCTACCACCTTTTCTACCAGTACTGCTAACCGTATGCAAGCGCTTGGTGTTGAGCTGTACCTGTTAAGGACAGGTGCACCCAGGTCTTTTGGTTCATGTAGAGGTTTCTTGGTGTCTTTAACCTACCCATTAGACATTGGTACAACTTCAAGATTCATGTAATAGATTCGCTCTGACTCCAATCTGTATTTAAAAAGCATAATATGTGATTTTGTGTCTATGGTCTTGTGCTAGATTTGAGGAAATGTGCATGTGACCATGGAAAATTGCCAAATGACGAAAGAGCACATTAATGTATGCAAAAGACCAACATGCTGAGCTGAAGGCATGACTTGAGGGTATTTCATACGTGCGTGAAAAATTGTATATTTCTTTCATGCACACATACATGCTCTAAAACTCAAACATGGGATTCCCATCAGAGTTTATAGTGGGCTGAGACTCATAAAGAGCCTCGTGGCAGTGGTGCGTGTTGTATTTTATATGAGGGATTTTAGTGCAGCTCTGTCATTGTTATTCTAAAACTTCAAGATGAAGACATCAAAGAAGATCTCATGAAGTTTTTAAAGTGGTCCTCACCCTGGTGTGTCCACTGACATTAAAACCAGCTGACGGGGTGCAGCTCATCTGAAACCCTTCTGGATGGTGTATTTCTAGTGTATATGCTTTTGGAATCATACGTTGATGATGAGTTTCTGGTTTGTAATTGCAGATGGTGGATTTGCATGCTTGTACTGTATGTGGTGGTGACCTTTTGAATGAATGCGCTCCAAATGTGATTGTCTGTGCATGCCTACCTGTGTGATTCACCTAAGGGCAGTATTACGCGGTCCTGCCTATGTCAGCCCAAAGCTCATGTCAGCTTCCTATTACTCACCAGCCGGCAGGGATTCTTTGGTTAATCAGCACATATTCTTTCATTCAAGCAGACGTCTGGTTTAGCCTGGGCCCTCATTAACTATCTCACTTCAGACGTTTTAGTTGTCTGCTTTCCTGTATGAAGGTTACGTTTTGACTTGTTTAGATCAGCAAAATTGTAACCAATCTCACGTTGATATTTTACAGAATTTTTGTAATGTATATAAATGTGTATGTATATAGGTATGTGTACGTATATATATATATATATATATATATATACTGTATATATATATTAATATATAATAAATATAAATTAATTAATATATACTGTGTATATAAATTAATATCCAAATTAAAACTAATTTATATATATATATATATATAAATACAAATTAATATCCAAATTAAAACTTTGTGTTTACATAATATATGTGTGTAGTGTGCATAATTATTTTGTGTAACACATGCTTGTATATATTTGAGAAATATTTGCATGTATATACTATATATATATATATATATATTTATGCATCATTAATATTAAATATAAATATTAATATTTTATATATTAATAAAACATTTATAAATAAATATACACATTTATATATATATATATATATATATATGAAGAGTTCAGATGCAAAAACCTCTAAATGCCATTTGAAATTTTCTTCTAAAATGACCATTTTTATCAAACTTGTATATTTAAGTTCAGTAATTTCACTTAAATGACAATTAATAGGTAATCTTCATTGCCATTTAAGTGAAATTACTGAACTTACAAGTTTGATAAAAATGATCATGATTTCTTGTCCAAAGACAAGAAAAAGTATTGTTCAAAATTGATGTATAACTTTGATAAAAGGTTTTGATCCACTTCAAATATTGACTGTTGTGTATATATTTAAATATCTTACATATAACTATATTACTATTACATATATGTTGTATTTTGATTAGACATGTCATGTTGAATTTTATTTTAGAACGAGTATTCTCATCTATCCTCAAATCAAAGGCCTGTAAATGACCACTTTAAGACATCCCTGTTCATTAGAACGGTGTATTCGGCGTTAACTCACAGCTGGAAGTTGAGTGGAAAGATGCAACTATTTGGAAAGAGCTGCGCCAATGAGAGGAATCCACAATGACCTACTTATTCCCCTCTGTGAAGGAGCTGCCTTGTTCCCCTGACCCAAATGATGCAACTTATTTGCCTCTCATCTCAGCATCGTACACATTTACAAAATGCATGTGTGTTTTGTGTTAGTCACAGGTAAAATTGCATATGGATTCAGTTTCTGATCTTACATTTTAAATGCTAAAAAGGCTGTTCTTGTGCAGTAGCGTTTACATTTACTTGGTGATGATACCTTCATTTATTTCTATTAGTCTTAAACACCATCAGTACAGTGGTTTAAGGTGGCATATTTGCGATCAAGTATCTATGAAAGAAGTGAGGCCAAAACACACAAAGCTACACAGCCCTGGCCTAGGTTTTGTTGTTGTTAGAATTTTTCGACCGTTCCATCCAGTGTGGATGTCAGATAAAACAGAGAGTGTGTGTGTAACTCTATGTGCGTAAACAAGAGAGGGTACGTGTTTGTCGGAATATTATTCCTGTCTGAGTTGGTGTGTAACCCTTGGCCCTTTTTCCACCCCTCCACCTCACAACCCAGAGGAAGACTAGAGCCCGGACAGGAGGGGCACTGTTGTTATGAATGACTGACTTCATACCTCTGTGTGTGTGTGTGTGTGTGTGTGTGTGTTTGAGATGATGAAGGCTCTTTGCGTTGTTTTTCCAACATTGAATTTGTGGCCTCTCTGTAAGATGCTGCAATGTACCTTCGGAAATGTCAAACACCCAAACATTAAAATACAGTTTCTAAACCGAACCAGCTGGACCTAACTGTCACTGTCCATTGTGACGGGAGAGTTGTTTGATCATTGTCCCCCATTCACACTGTTAAATTATGTTTTGTAGTGAATCTCCAGTTAGAGCTGAAATGTTAGGGCTTTAGAATTGTCCCATAAATCAGTTAATGTATTGATCTTTTTGCTTTGGGGTTGATTGTCTGGGAGTGACAACATAAGGTGAATAATACTCCAAAGCAATCCAGGACGCCTTTAAAAATAAACTGTCCTCTTGTCCCTGCAAGTCTGTACAGAGACGCAAATGAGCTGTTTTAACAGGACAAAACGAATGTTCCTTAGGCTTCTATTTACTCTACAGTTGTCCTCTTGTCTGGCGACTGAAGCAAAGTGAAGAGGCGTCTGTATACTGTATCCAATGTAGACAGCGTCAGTATTTATAATGGGTTTTATTTGCTTTTGATGTTGCGCTTGCATACGGTGTTGACAAGTGTCAGCTGATAAGTGACTGAACGGCAGTAGGCGAGGCCTATGGTGTGATGTAAAACTATTCATCTGTGTCTTGCTCTTGAGGCAGTCATATGCAAATGCATTTGCCCGTGTGACATCACAAGGATCTTGATCAAATAATAAATGCTTTGTTTATAATCTGAAGAAAGTTTTAAGCTCTGAAGCTTGCAGGATGATTTAATTATACAAAGACCTCTTGTATGTCAAAAGATCAACGCAAATAGATTTCTCACATGACCCCTTTAAGGAAAGAAGCTACATTTTATTTAACAAATATTTGGAAACATGCACACACCAGAAAATGTACTTATTTGCAGTGTTTCAATTATTATTATTTTTTTTATTGTGCAAATATTTACTCTATTTATGCCATACACTTTTGAAATTATAATAGTTAATTTAAGATTAATTAATTTAAGTTAATTTAAGTTAATTTAATTTTTATATTATTCTTTACATGACTAATATATTTAAATTAGCCCTGTCAAACAATTAATCGCGATTAATCGCATCCAAAATAAAAGTTTGTGTTTACACACAATATGTGGGTGCACTGTGTATAATTATTTTATGAAAAAAATATTATATATAAAATATTTATATTTATATATAATATAAATTATATATAAATCTATATACAGTATATATACATGAAAATATTTCTTAAATATATACAAGCATGTGTGTGTATTTATATACATTATATACAAAATAATTATACATAGTGCACCCACATATATTATGTAAACCCAAACTTTTACTTTGGATGCGATTAATCGCAATTAATCGTTTGACAGCCCTAATTTAAATATATGTTTTACTTTTGTGTGTGAGCTTTCTAAAGCTTCTTTTTACATATGATTTTGATTCTTTTGTGGAACTGAAAACATTACGAGTAAGTATTACATTTGGGAAGGAAGATAATCGAGAAGTCAGTTAAAATTGCGTGCTTCACAGCCTTCATCCACTGACCTTGAGACACACCTCCCCTAGTGACCAGTGTCCAGACCCTTCTCCTGTCCGGCCTGTTTTTAGTTTTTTTTTTCCCTCTTCTGCCTTTTGGAGACTTTCAATGAGCTGCTTGGAAAATAAAGAGTGCTTGTTTCTGGTTTGGGTGTCGAACTGTTACATCGCACCCACGCATGAGCAAACAGTTTATTTCTGGCCCTCGGTGTGTTCTGTGAACTCATACGCAACCCTAGGGAGAGCCATGTTGTCCCTGCCAAAATATTCCTTTTTTGCTCTGACTCAACTCATCTTAAACTTTCAAAAAGGGCTGACACTGTAAAAAAGGCGAGTTTGATTCAGTGTGAAAGCTCATCCCTTGTTTTTTGTGTTGGCTTGACCATTTTAAAATTACAGCACTTGAGACTTATGACTGGCCAGTGGTGACGTTGATGGGGTAGAACATATAGTACACTTCACTTTGGAGTCACTAATAGTCCCAGAATCACCAATATCGCTGGTGTAAAGACCAGGGCACACCAAGTCTCTTGTCCAACGGCGTCTGGGCATTTTGAGCTGTTAGTGAGAGAGAGAACTCTGATCGGCTTTAGCTTAGCAAACGAGTGATGAAAGCGAGCAAAGTCAAGACTGTACAGATAGAAGGCTGTTAAACGTATCTACATCATCTTTCTTAAGCTTTCGAATGCACAAATATGTTCATAATAACATCAGCTGACTGGAATGAAGAACGTGATGAGACTAGTGATACCTGCTGATATAGACAGGTATTTACGTACAGT